GTTTTGAATATTGGGGGGTTAAAACAGATTTTTCAGTATTTTTAAACTTCAGAGAAAGTTTATTTAGAATGTATCCTTCAAAGACATCAAAAGTATGAACACAGTGAAATTACCTGAGTAAGACATGATAAAAAAGTTAACGACCACGGCTAAAGAGCCATTTAAAAAAAACTAAAATAAAAAATGAGTATTTATGCAAATACAAAATGCCAAGTGGCCAGAAAATTGTTTTCAGGATAAAATGCAAATACAAAAATTAACATAGTGAAGAGTTTTGTTTAACTCAGTGAGGAAACTGTTACAATCTAACTGGCACAAAGGAGACTCCAAATAACAAACATATTTACAGGTGGAGAAGAGTAAAACAAAAAGATAAATGGGGAGGCAAGAGTCACCTTTTGTCAAATTGGCTAGCCAGGGAAGTCAACTGAGCCTCTGTGGGACAGAATTTACCTGCATACAACAAGAATTTTTCTTTTTTTGTGTTGCTATCAGTTATTTATAACTTACAGAGTTGAAATAGTTCTGGGAATTGGAATTAGGTGAGATTTTGATGATGCACTGTTCTCCACAGAAGCACATTTCCCCCTTATCTCGATGGCTGAATTGCTTCTTTATTACTGTCTTCCCCAAACCTAGTGCACGGTGGGTGTGCCATAAATACTGCTAAGTGGATACATGTCTACTCTGTACCAGGCATTACGCTAGATCCTTCCATGCACCATCCTGCTTAGCCTTCCCAACTTTTAGAGAAATGTTCTCCACAAAGGTTTCGAATTACAAAAGCAGCCCTGAGTTAAAAGGAGAGAATGGAGGTGTCATGTTACTTGACTTCAAATATTACTATAAAGCGCCATTATTAAAAAGTATGTGATAATGGCACAACAATACATGAAACAATGGAACAGAATGGAACAGCCAGAGGAACGTCCACATACGCATTAACACTAATCTATCAAAAGCAGTTATGACCATAAAATGGGGGAAAGGCAGTCTCATTTAATGCTGGAAAATGGAAACCCACACATAAAAGTTGGATTACTTGCTAACACCATACACAAGAATAAACTCCAAAGGGATTAACAATTTATATGTAAGACCTGTAACAATAAAATACACAGAAGGAAACACCGGTAATATGTTTTATGATATCAATGATAAAGTTATTTTTGGTGACTTGACCCTCTGGCAAGGGAATTAAAAATGAAAATGAACAAGTCGGATTATCTCAAGTTAAAAAGCTTTCTGTATAAGAAAAGAAAAAACAAGACACTTAAATAGCCCATTGAGGAGAGAAAATATTTACACAATATATGACTGATAAAGGATTAATATTCAAGGAACCAAAAAACTCATATAATTCACTAGTAAAAAAACTAATCCAGCTAATAAACCCAACTAATAAACAAGCAGCCAGTATGAACAAATAATTCATAAAAGAGGACATCCAGAAAGACATGGAAACATGTTCATTGTCATTTCTAATAAGGGACATGTAGATTAAAGTTACAAAGATGTATCATCTCCTACCCATGAGGAGGGCATATGTTACAAAGACCCCCAAAAACAAGTGTTGGAGAGGATGCAGAGAAATAAGAACCCTATTCCACTGTCAGTGGAAATGTGAACTGGTGTGACTATAATGGAAAATTATCTGGATCCAATTTAAATAATTAAAAGTGAAAATAGCATACAGCCCAATTCCACTACTGTACATAAAGCCACAGAATATGAAACCACAATGTTGATAGCAGTTTTATATACACATGGACATGGAAGCAGGCTAAAAATCAAGATCAAGAAGAGCTTGATTGGATCAAGAAGGTGTGGTAGTGCCTCACCATGGAATATTATATAGCCACAAGAATGAAATGCCATTATTTCCAATAAAATGAAGAAAATGTGAGAGAATGACATATGGCAAAGTGGCTCAGAATGAGAAAAAAATACTGGACATTTACATGCAGACAGTTTGCTAACATGAAACACTGTCAAAAGCCAGTGGACATCAATGGTTCTCTTACCATCATTGTACCATCTGCCTCTGAATCAAGCACTATTACAACATGAGTATTATAACACTGATATATATATATGCTACCTGGACCAACAATTTATTAGAGCCCCTACCTTTTAAGAAAAATTGAGCAGTGAACAGCAGTATTCAGGAGAATCAAAGCATGAATGAGAGCCACCTGAACATCTACAGAGTCTTGAAGATTAGCACAGGAGATCTACCAGCCCAGACGCGCCCCCTCTCCCTCCACCTCCATACGTGTTCTGTTCCCAATGTTCTAGATAATATAGGCAAAGCCAACACTGTTTACATGTGCTTGTTTTCACAGAAGTTAGGATAGTATCTAGGAAAACAGCAGCAGATAACATCACATGCCACAAGGGGAGGAGATTAGGAGCTCTTCCTTATAGATAGAGAAAGCTGATGGGCACCTAGTAACCTTCACAAAATCTCCCTGCTAAGCTGCAGCTCTGGGTCTGGCCTGCACACACACCCACGGCCCTCCCCCTACCTGCAGGACTCCACCTTGTGCTCAGCCCCTGGCCATAATCACATCTTCATTTTTTTTTTTTTTTTTTTTTGCAAACCTCTTAAACTGGTCATCATTACCTCAAGGGCATCAGGATTCCCAGCATCACAGAGTTGGTCAGTGCATGTGGACTTAGGACCAGAAAGCTATTTTCAGGCCTCTTGGCATTTGTGATCATTTGGATACTTGATATTCTCTTTTGGGTCAAAGAACAGAGGAAGAGAGTCTTCTGAGACCTCAAAATAGGTCCAGAAGATGTGGACCAAATGGCAATCTGAAATCATTCTCTCTCTTTCCTAAGTCCCCAGCTAATCCCCTGCTTTCTTTTCTTGCTGGAAAATAGGTTGCCCTTAGAATGAAGCCATAGTATGTTTTTAGGCACTTCCAAATGAGTCTTGACATGAAAAACAGTGCAGTCCTTGTATGGTGAAGGTGTCAATAAATGTAACTTAGGGGTTTACCTGTATTTTCATTTTGCTGTCATAAGGATTCTCTGAGTCAGGTACTGTGAAAACCTCTAATTTGGGGATGAGAGAAGGAGGTTAAATCACTTGCCCAATTTAAGCAGCTTGGCCAAACTCACGATATGGTTGGAATCCACCAACACCGGTGTTCCTTCATGGAGACCAAGGACTAGGCACTATGACAGCTGTTTAGACCCATGTCTCTCATTTCCACACGCCTATCCTCATGTCACTTAGCTGGCATCACAAGAAAGAGCACATTCACGTCACAAACTTTGAAACATCAGCTCTTCACTTGTGAGGGGTGTCATGCTCATCCACTTCAAACCCCCATAGATCCTTACCCTTCCCTCAGGGGTATCTCCTAATTCTCAGCCTAATAACAGATAACAGCACTTTCATCTAAGGTCATGAGAAAGGCTTTACCAGGACGATCACACAGGTTTTCAGAAGCACAAAGCAGCATTATCTGATGGAGGTTGTCACTGTCAGGCAAACACTTATTACTGCTTTCAGGAGTAGAGTAACAAATTTCTCCCTACCCTACCCCGGATTTGGGAGAAAATCTTATCTTTCTTAAGAGAGGGCTTAAGAAACAAAATCTAGACACTTGGAATCTAAGTTCTGACACTGCCTTCAAAATGTCAGCAATTTCATCTAAAAGGACCATTACCTCTAGTTAGGGGGAGAGAGAAAATGCATAAAAGACAGTTTTATACTTGAGCTAGGACTATTTCACTCTATTATGCTAGCTTGAACTACATTTTGGTGTCTTCCTTATATATTTAAACATTAATGACTGGATCATCTAACTCAGCTTGAAAATAGTTTTTAGTGTTAGTGTTTAAAAAAGCATTAGTGTTTTTGTCTTACTCAAGCTTTCTGTACGATTCAAATTTGTAAAGCAGACATACGAGGAACTGCTTGGGTTGACACACCCATCCCTAACCAGAGCACATTCTCGAGTTAGCACGGGGCAGAGTCTAGTATACCCAAGGGTTCCACACCTTGAAAACCACCCATGAAGTCTGCTCTGGGAGGAATGATCTGCTCCTCACCTCAAAGCTACAGGCTTTGAACAGCAAAAACACATACTTTCTGCTAACTGTATCTCTTTTCATAGCAGGAGTGAATAGACTACGATGGCTAGAACTCACTGAGGGGAAATGCGTTGGCATCGACAGAGCTGAGCTTCTCAATAGCAAGTCAAATGCCCATGACTGTCTCAATTATCTCTTAGATAAAGGGAAGAATCTGGTCTAGGAACTTAACATTTTTCCCATGAAGCCCAGTTTTGGGGCACAGAGGTGAGTGATCCTCGGAGCTGTTTCACTGAAATGTTTGTACAGGAGGCAGGTGGGGATGATGGCCCAATCACAGACTCTCAGGACAGGGCAGGTCAGGAAAGACCCCCAACTCTGATGTACCCCCACAGTGCGCAGTTACTCTCCCTTGTGCCCCATTCTCTACACAGCCACATTTTCTGCCTCCAAGTGCTTTCTGACCTCTACATATAATGCTCAATCCCCTTCGTCCTAATGGAATCCTGATTTGTGCTATGAAGGTAATTCCTCTCAGAGGCAGTGGGTTAGTATATTCATGTCAAAATTTATTTAGGTATCTTTGCTACTTAGAACATCTACTTACAGATCCTGTCATCACGTTAATTCAAAATGCTTCCTTTATTTTCCTGATGCACTTTATTCCTTTATATTTTCCTGATGCACTTTAGAATCTCTTGCCCTCTCCTTACCCCAATTCCCAGGCACTTTCATACCAGACACATGGAATCCACAGTTCTCCATAAATAACCCCTTATGCCCATTAAATAGTGTAGCTCACATGGGTCTGGGCTTTAGCTCCTCGTTTAATGTAAACCCATGCTGGAACACTTCTGCAGGAAGATGCTGCGTCATTGTAAGTTTATGGAAAAGGTCAACGCTAGGGAGAAGGAGAAGGAGTGATGGGTTCTGGACAGGGCATACTTTACCAGTTATGTCATGCTGTTTGAATGACTCACTGTAGATCTGATACTGATTCGGACAATGTTTCTTCAACCACTTGCAGACATCCTGCTGAGTCCACAGAGCCACTGGTTTTGACAGCTTCACCGTAGTGGACTATAAATAAAGAAGGAAAGAAGGCGTGTGAGTGCCTGCTCCACACCTAGAAAGGCTGGATGTTAGAAATCCTGGAGGGTGGGAAAGGCTTCCCTGAAGAGACATATCTGGCTCCTGCACTTGTCGTCACCTCCACAGACCATTCCAAGCTTTTGTAAACAGAAATGGTACAAGTGGAGAAGCCCATGAAAATGATCCCTGTCCCCAAGCTATTTCTACTGGGAAAACTCCCTAGGAAAGCAGGTGTTTTCTCATGAATACGCTAACAACACATTGGGCGTGGTTAGCAATTGATTATCCTTTGTGGGGATGACAGAGTGGTCCCCACGTGGCAATTTCTTGGTATTTGCAGAAAGTTTCATCTTTTCCTCTGAAATCTCTAGGGTCTTGTTCAGCACTGCCCCCCCAGGCGCTAGTACTTATTTTAGGAAGGACTGATGCTTGCATATTAAAAGTTCAAGTCAGGCCCTCCCTGGTGGTGCAGCGGGTTAAAGCA